CATCTATTCTTATAAGACCACAGCCGCAGTTACGGGTAGGCTTGATTTGAATATGTTACAATCGATTAGCCCACGCCACTCGAGGTTACGTAAGATCAATTGGGATAACGTTCCTGAGGTACGCAAATAGTCGGGTCACCAGCCCGCAACTCAAATCAAATTATTCCCCTTTCGGATTCATTTCACAATTCTTCCGCACCTTTGACCGCCGCATCGAGCATCCAGCATTATTATTAACAACCCTATTAGCTTCACTTGTTGTGACCCGAATTTCTGTTACTAAACTTTCAGCGTACGAGTGTATCACCGGTAGTGTACTAGAGACTCGCTCCAGTTGAGTTATTACTGCGTACCACGCCTTTGCGGAAAAGAACCTCACCATCGTAAAAGTATTAGGGCGAAACAGTTTCAAAATGCGAAAGCGTTTCGTGTATAGTACCGCAGAAACGAATCACTGGTAATCTAGTTTATTACAAATTAAAAAAAAATTGTGTCGAAACAGACGTGTAAATTGTCAGTATAGTGTACAGCTGTTCACTAGATGGTGCCAAGCAACACCCAGTAGTTTTAACAAAACACACAAACTTGTGTAGTTAGATGATGGGGTTTTAGCACCGCTTATGTTGCTCGCCTAGTTCCAAAATCGAATCCTAACAGTGCGGAAAACTTTTCGACAATATAACATCTATTAGCTCACAGTTACAATTATCTTGAGAACAGACTACTAAAAGTAAAAAATTAAAAATCATCATGTTATATAGTGAACTATGAAAAAGTTTGATCTCTCTGCTCTACTCTCTTACAAAATCTAAGAAAAAAAATGAAGATTTTTGAAATGTTTTAAACTTTCCATAGATAATGTTATCACGTATTTTTTCCATTTTATTACCAGTAAAAATCCCATCGTTTCACCAACAAACTAAGTGCCATTTCGCAGTCGGCCATAAAGCATTATTGCGATATTTATAATGCCTTTTGAATCGTGAATAGGAATAAAGCCATATAAAAAGATCTTTACGTAAATGCGCGTTGGTGTTACTTTATGTTGCTGTTTTGTAAAATTTTATTACGAAGCCCTACAAAATGTCTATTGTGAAACGTGTTTCATTTCATGTTCTTTTATACCTTTAGCACCAAAAATTTGGAAACAGGTATTTGGTATAAACATATTAAATTCGTTTAGTGTATTGGATATAACAAGAAGGGATGGATCGCACAAATACATACTAGATGGTACCTTGTAAAGGAAACATGACTTTAATTCAGTTTCTAAATTAAAAATAGTACTAAAAAAATCAATTAACATTAAGAGTAGAAGTAAATGTTGAATGGAAATCATCATTCAAACATTTCAGTCTGTTTGAGACCTTTGATGATCATAGATAGGCCTTTCCCACAGATAGCCGCGAAGCACGATCATGTGCCACCTGCATCCATCGACTTCCTTCCCGCACATTTACGCAAGTCGTCACTCCGTCTGGAGTGGTTGTCCTACACTTAGATGGCCAGTACGAGGGTGCCACTAAAAAACCTCTCTTTCCCCATCGGTTACGGTTCTACGAGCTATATGGCTGAATCATCCCCACTTCAGCTTACTAGTGTTCTGAGCCATATCGGTTAACTTTGTTCCACTGCAGATGTCTTCATTGCGAACTCTATCACGCAGAGAAATACCGAGCATAGCCCGCTCCATAGCTCACTGAGCGTCTTTGAGCTTCCTCATACGGCCAGAAGTGAAGGACCACGTCTCGGTTCCGTAGGTCATCTCTGGCAACGCACATTGAGAAGGTATGCTTGAAGTATCCCGAACGCTACCCATCCGAGTTGAATTCACCGATTGACCCCTGCGTCACGAGTCAAGTTGAACGCACCTAACTGGAATAACTCCCAACAACAACCGGTATAGGAGTGACATGGACATATTTTGACACGATCTTTGTTTTCCAAGGTCCTCCGGCGACTATGCCATGATGACATGTCAGTAAATCGAAGGTAAGTTATGTATTCGCCATTGATGTTAATACCACGCCTTTTCCAGTCAAGAAGCTTGAAAACATCTTCCAATGCAGCGGTGAAGAGTTTCGGGGATATGACATCAACCTTATACAGTTGGATGGGTTTTGTACCACCGGACGGATACACATACACACGGTTATTCCTAGTATTCACGTAAAGTATCAAACGTGCTACTAAATAAAATTATCAGAGATATTATCAAGTTTAATTAACTTACAGTGTAGTTGAGACGTCTCATAGTCCGATTATAAATGCTGTCGTTTTCGAAAAGTTGCGACTTAAGTTTTAAATTAAAATCGACAAAATTGTAAACTGGTTAATAAGTAAGTGAACATTTACTGATATCAGACATATTGATCCACCTTTTTTTACATATAACCAATATTAAAATAACAAGCAAAGACCGTTTTCAAAATCGTGTTTCAGAGCAAATACTCATGTAACAATAATAGAACGCGTTCAGATTGAAACCCGAAAAGTAAATAACATATATCATATCACATGTGTAACTAATTAAATAAAGTTTCTTTAGTCTCATAAATTAAGGCGTGGAATTTCTATTGGGGTACAAGATCGTAATCCTGCCCGCAAGAGGATTATGATCATGTCCTGGTTTGCTAGTATTGATTCTGTACTAAGCAATTATTTTAATTTTAGGTTTTATAAAAACACAAGTTGTTACAAAAATAAAACCGTTTAAAAACTTTTAAGTTAAACGGTTTTATTTTATGTTTTTTTTTGTGCACTGAAAAGTACAATATTGTATTGTCATCTAAATTAAATGTGTGTACCAAATTTCAGATCAATCTGACAACGGGAAGGTGCTTAAATTTCAATTTCTAATTTTGACCCAAATAAACAAATAAATTCCGTACGTGTCGAGCTAAATAAAACCGTTTAATAACCTATAAACCATTAGAACTTTTAATATGCATATGTATATCAACAACTTGCACAGAGAGGCATTGAGATTCTATTCCATTGGAGTGGAAAGTTTTTTATAATAATATAAAAAAATAGTTTTCTTTAATCATGTAATGTCAAGAACTTACAGAAATTATTAACGCTATGATTTTAACAAATAAGTGAGGATAATATTTTTTTGTAATCAAGACAAGAACTGCTTAAACATGCAGTAGCGTGTTCCACATTAAATTTATTCAAATGACTAATCAAGTTTTCTAATGATAAAATCTTATAGTATAGCAATTAATCTTATAGTCCACCTTTAGTGTAATTATTTCAAATAAACTCCCTTCTAGAAGCAATGTGTTGTTAAAGATGAATTTCTTTAAGTCAATACCTGCACATAATTAAATTAGTTTCAACTAATGTTGATTAAATAAATTATTGCTTGGCATTTGATAGTCAGCTTATATTATATTGTGTATATGATAGTGGCAGTGTCGGGTGTTATTAATAAAATAAATTATATTTAAAGTTACATTACACGATATTTATTTTACTACATTAAATTAATAGGCCTCGAAATTGATACTACCAAAAAATGTCTCCTTAAATTTGTCATCGTTATTATTAAGTAAAAAAGGACTGTATCCTAAGCATATTCTAAAATTTTAAATACAATATACTTGCTAAATCTCAAAATAGTTTTAGAAAAAATGGACCTACAACCCAAGCCGTATATAAATACAAACAACACTTTAAACATAAATAATAAAAAATGATAAAAAAATATATGACCAAAGTATACTAAAAAGTCTAATATACCATATTACTAGCAAAATTTCATGGCTAAAGAATTCGTGGTCGGGCATATAGATGGTCTCTGATAGGAAACAATAAAAGTTTAATTATTTAATTTTATTTAAAATTTATTAAGTATAGTTAAAAAAAAAAAAGATTTTTTAAAACTATACTTAAAAAATAAGATGAGAAGCTAAGGATCCATCAATAATTGTCAACCGGCTGTATTTAATTAGAGGAGGAATATACATATGGACTAAGGCGAATTGGTATTGCTTTTTTAACCTATGATAATAATGTAATGGGTTGATCCCAGTCAGCCTCTCCGAACATCTGAGGCGACTGGGACTCCGGGATGGAACGCTCCAAGCTCTAATGCAGAAAGTGGTGCTCCGTGATACCGCCCGCATCGTCCGTCGGTTTCTCTCCCTTTCACCCTAACCCTCGGCCGTTTGGTCTCCCCTGCCGAGGGCTTCCGCCTGGTTGGGTCCTATTTATATATGTATTATATACAATATTTATATCTATATGTTTATTTTTATTCATAATATTTATTTTATATATGCAATATATATATATATATATATATATATGTTTATTTTTTATCTATAAACCCAATCAGACGAGAAAACAAAGAAATATCCCCAACATGTAATATAATATAACGAAAATAGATCACGTCTTATGATTAGCCTTAAATCTGCCCGAATCAAAGAGAAGCAGAGGCCACCCGCCAATGACCTACTGGTCCAGTATTGCAAGAGACTTAAAGAAAGCCCAATTGCCTGAAGCGACAACCCAAGACCGTTTGTCTTGCCGCAGGAAAGTGAGGAGAACCGACCCCAAGTAACGGGATCAGAGAGGGAAGAAGAAGTAATATAAAGGAAATAAATTTGACGGCGCTACTCCAGTCAGATAATAGCTACCGATCGAGCCGAGGTCCGGCCCTCTCGGGCACCCTCGAATCGGAATGCTAAACGCGTGCTGAGTGACAGCCCAAGCCGAGGTCCCCTCTCGGGGACCCTTGAGCCTGATCACTCCATGGAGCGCCCGCCAAAGCGCCCTAAGAGCTTGGCGGCCTCCCAAACCGGTAACAATAATAGCGTGACGGCCCGAGCCGAGGCTCCCCCGGGAGCCCTCGAGCTTAGTCACCATAACGCGTAATAATAGTACGCCGAGGTTCAGGCTAGGCGCCTCGTGCGCCAGGCCACCTCAAGTCCTCAAGAAAAAAAAAAAAAAAAAAAAAAAAAAAAAGACGGCGCTACTCCATTACTCACTTGTCGTGGAAATGCTTATTGCTGGTCGCGTACGAGTCGAAAATGTAATTCAGCATTGGGGATCCGTCCGATTTGCTCTTGCGTGCCAACTGCTTCATAGATTTGTTCGTCATCAACCTGATGACATTTTGCGGAGTGGGAACGAGACTCGTTGTTTTCTGTGCGGGGTCCGTCTGCTCAATTTCGGGGTGTTCTATGAAAATTAAAACAAACGTTCAATGCACAGTGATAAATTGGCAAAAGAGCTGGCGGTTCACCTGATGTTACTGACCCCAGCCCATGGACATTTGCAATACCCGTAGGGTTGCAGTTGCCATTAAATAAAGTAGGCCCCGGCTACCTCACTCATCAGACGAAACGCAGAAGTGTAAAACTTCCACTTTACGCCGGTCTTCTGTGAGGTCGTGGTAATTACTCGGAAGGACCTGCCCATTCGTGCAACAGTGAAAACTTATCTGTTTCGTATTTTAGGCAGAAAATAAGAATTATAAAGTAGCAGTAGCCTTTGTCAATCGTGGTATGAAGTGATGAAATACCTACGTTTATCTCATATCGGTGTGGACCACATGTGGGAATGTTTTTGTCTAATTTATTGCTAAATTAATTTTTAAATCACATTGAGATACTAATTTTTGTAGTTATATATGATATATTTCGGCCCGATTGGAATAAATTTGAGTGGAAAATTTCGCACCGTCAGCTAGAAAGCGATATGATAAAGTCTGTTGCAAAGCGACCAACTTTGACCAACTTCACGGTATTACCATAGTAACAAATAACAACTTTTTGACATTCAACTATAATTTCAAATTATTTACATCAATATTAAACCGTTATCAATTGTTTTTTTTTTTTTCTGAAACAAAGAGTAGCACAGGGGATAAGATTTTGAGGTATTTTTCTTTTGTTACGCGTTTTTTTTGAAATTATACTTCTTTTGGCGCGTTAGGGAAAAATGATGAGGAAATTTTTACGATTCGCGCGTACACCGTCACGAAAAACCCACACCCTGAAGTTAGCTAGCGTATGTTTTGCGTTTGTAAATAAATAAATAAAAATAAAACTTCTTTTCACATAGACGCTTGCGCGTTCTTATGAAACGGGAAAAATTTTACAGAAATGAACACGTTCGTAATTACCAGTTCGGAAAAGTTTTTTAAGATCAACAGTTGCGCTTTTAAAAAAAAATCAGTTTACAATATAATAGTACGTACAATACTTGTTTTAGCCTACGTGAGTAACAACAGTAATAACCCACACATTGGCGTCGTCAAGATATTCAGCAATGAAGGCTTTAGCCATAGTTTACTTTTAATTTTTCGTTTAAATTCATCAGTCTTAATACGACTGTGGGATTTTATTTACATGCGCACACCTTGCCCCATGAACGAACTGTTGACTTTTTGTAAACGAAACAATGGCGTAGTTAGTTTGTCCTTATTTCTAGTATTTAGTTTATGTCACTATTAATATTATTTTTAACATACAAAATGTTACAATAAATATATTGAGACGCAACAGTGAGTATATTAATCTCTTTAAAAAGGTCTCTGAGTGTATTCCGGGCTCCGATGTTATAGATTGCTCGGACAGCTCTTTTTTTTGAAGAATAATTGTAATCACGATATTTACTTTGTGACATTTAAATAAACTTTATTTAACTAGATATTGCGTTATAATAAAACTTTCAATGTATTCAATACCTTTTTTCTACTGTTAGTGTCGTTTTTGTTTGTAGTGGCCTACAAACGTAGAATGAGGCGAAAGATAAAATTTTTGAAAAGATTTTTATCTTGTTACGCCAAAGAAGTATAACTTCTAACGCCTGTACGTAAGTACGTACACACACTACAAACAACACAACTTGAATTATTGGCGATTTATTAACAGTTGAAGTGTACGTTCTGAGAGTTCTCATTCATCGGACGCAATGCAGCGCAATAGCATGAATACTTTTACTTTAGGTGAGAACAGCTAAAGTAACAGTATGCTTAATAGTAGTGTTTTAATATAACAGAAGTAATATCTGGTACTTCCCGGATTTCTGGCCTTTTCGTGCATGAGATATTATGTTAGCTAATAATCTACAGATAGCTTTTAAATTTTCTTTGAATTTGTCTTGATAAAAATTTATTGACATTTCATTTTTGCCATTTAGCTTGGACGGTTTCTTTCGGCGTTTAGATCATGTAAACTTTAAATAATAATAGTGATAGATAATAGCCAATACTTTATATTAGGACATATGAACAGTGAACAGACAACCTCATTTTATGATGTAATTTTTCGACCCCATTAGGGTGATTTATAAGGCGGCTGTCAGGTATCATAATACAAATATTCAAGCACTCGTCTCTTCAAATGTAACACCTTTGTCAGTGACATGACGAGTAATGTAAGTGGGAAAAGTCAAAATATATGATCGTCATAAAATTTCGACTTCCGTTGACACTTGAAGCTTTATTTACATCCATAAATTACTCTCAGTTTACATGTACAATAACAGTATAGATACTAAGATACTCGTTTAAACGAACATTTTTCACACAAATATTTTATATAACGCCTAGCAATTTTGTGTATCATTTTATGTACGGTGAACAATAAAGTATTCAGTCATTCATTAATTCAAAATTTGGTTACAATTTCGTTATACGCTATTTTACGAAATCTCGAGATCCTCTGCTAGAAAGAGAGTATTTAGTTCGTCTTGTAGTAATGTGAAAGATAATATTTTTTTAACACAAATATATTATCTTAGGTATATATTATCCAATTATAATATTATTTTCATATATATTCTCTTTATTTAAAATTTTATTATTCTTGCATCTTTTGCTGCACCTACCATAAACTCTCACCACATCCTGGGTTGACTGGTAGAGAATGCCTTTGGGCATTAAGTCCGCCCTTTGTTACCTTGTTTTACTGAAGGTTGGCAATAAAGATTAAATAAATAAATAAATATTGTTAATGTTCACTATTTAGCATTCTTGTTTTATATAAGAAAACAACCCAGGTTACAGTAGGTAATGGAAATTTTTTATATTTTAAAGCAGCAATATTAGTAGATAAAAATAAAAAAATGCTTAATAACAGTACGTTTGTTTGTTTTTCATTTTCACTTTTCGAACGCTTTGCGTTTATGATATCAGTGGATGATTCAGGTAAAATTCCCTGTTAGGTCAGATTACATTCGGATTAGTTTTATTAGCGCAAAATCTACTAAGTTCTTCAGGTTGTAGCATTCCTGGATTAATAATTAAGTTAATCGATGCAATATTAATCGACTGTGAAATATCAAACTGTATATGTGTGTATTATTGATATAAGAATAAAATATAATTACAGTTTTTTTTTTTACGGTGGTACGGCCATGCAGCAGCCTGGCTATTATACGAATGGGCAGGCTCGTCCGGGTAAGTATCACGACCTCACAGAAGACCGGCGTAAAGTGGAAGTATAATACTTTCGCGTCTCGTCTTGAGAGTGAGGTGGCCAGAGCACAATTTTCAAAAGGTTGTCAACATAACTGGAACCTTTGGGTGTAACAGATGTGCATGGGCCGCGGTATTCACTTAACATCAGGCGAACAGTCTGCTCGCTTGGCAACTTTTCACATAAAAACAAGTTAAGCTCATCTGCAATCACAGGGACACACGAAATAATTAGTACTTAATTCTAACATAAAAATTTAAAATAAAACCATCGCTAAAGCCATGCAATAGTATAAAGGCCTTCAAAAACGATATGCGATACCACATATCGGGAACTTAGCGTGCTACACGATGGATAGTAATGTAACATACACTAAAAATGGCCATTGTTGAGGAGCAATAAAACGAAGCATATCATGTTTATCCGTTACGTACCTGTTATGCCGCTCGGCTGGGCGATGGCACTCGTGAGCACCGCCATGAGTAGCACGAAGCGGTGCATACCGCCGCATCCTACCCGCTCGGCAGGCCCTCTAGATAAATAAGGCGATCGTTAATCTAGAAACTTCTATTTGCTCTGAGCACGCGAGAACTACCGCTAAATAGCTGCTGGCTAGACATTTAACTAAAAACTTTCCGACTGTTTAAACTTTGCCTCTTCCCTAACTTAGTCTTTGTAATTCCTTTACAGATAGGTAGGCTTTTTAGACATAAACATTCCTATTCAAAAGTCAAGTAACCTTAAGATAGCTTTAAATAAATAGAAAATAGCATGTAAACAAAATCGCCCACATAATTTGGTATTGTCGACACAGATTTCCGGTTAAATTAAAGTTTTTAATTAATAAGTTATACAAAACAAATTAGAAAAATACTTTAATCAAAAACCGCGCTAAGCAATTGATGGTATTGCACTGATATTGTTACAGAATTCATATATTTTGTGCACCAATACTTAATAATTCTTGTTGTTTTTTATGTCACCACCATAAGCTTTTTCGCCGCAATGAACAACTCGTTTATCATAATTTAATGCAGTCGTTAATCAAATATTATTCACGCAGACTCATAAAATTTCTATCAATTCCACTGAATTGTGACGGACAATTTTAATTATCTCGCTTATCGACGTTGTCTAAGATGTATACATAGAAAGAGAAGTGCTCTCTGGTTTATTAAATATCTGGGATATTAATATTTATTCAATAGATTGAATACTGTAATATATATATACATATACAACCTGACGCTACTAACGCGATTATAAATCAACATACATATAGAAGATAACTTTTTAAAATTGTATGAAACATTTAGTTTCTTCATTTTATTAATCGGTTGAATAAATTGAAAAGAGATAAAACATACGTTTAGAAGGAGAAACTTGTATCGCGACGCTGTGGCAACGAATGAAATAGTCTCTGAATGTATGAATCAGTCAGTCGTAGTAGTATAGGATGTTATAAATTTTGTTTCTTTTTCCTTTCATTACTTTGCTTGAAAATCATTTTTTTATTATGAATTTTTTTAACGTTTATATTTTTTATGACTATTATGGCAAGTAGTAAAAGTTCGTATTATAGCTAACCCACTGCGTATTTGCCCACTTCACATATCTTCGAAACAATTATTTTTTATTATTATTTCGTTAATATACGGGTTTGCCTCTTCTATTCTTTTCCATTCACCATTGAATCAGAGCTTGATTGATTCATCAAGTTAAAAGTGCAATTAACTTATTCATTTATCAAGGCACATTGATTAGAACTCAAGTTGCACAAGTAAATTCAATTGAAAGCAAACGCTCGAATGCTCAGCTATCATGGCTATGCGTGGTATTACATCGTTTATGTGGGATTTACAGGTTATTGTGAGTATTAAAGTTTATGATTACGAGCTATTACATAACTTACCTTTGACTGAGGTGGAACCTCTGTTCGGATTTCAACAACATAATAATTTTCAATTTCCAAAATTCATGTATGACAAAATAGATAGGTGTTGAGATTTTTAAAATTAGTGATAGGCGTGGTCTGATTTTTCCTAATAGTATTGTGTTGGGTGCCTTTGCATTACTACGAAAACTTACGTTGCTTAAAACAGATGTCGCTTAATCTGTTATAAGTATTCTTTCTCTTTGTATTTCTTGTAATACCGATAACATCAAAATTCCGTGTAAGTTTATCAAGTTGTCAACGTGTCAGAATGACTAGTTATTATGAACCCCCAAATTCGGCTTCCGAAAAGGGAACCCAAATTAATTACGTTAGTACGTTACTAATTGAAATCGTCGATTTCACTGTAACGTATTCACGGAACACGCGGTACAAGGGCGCGGCAATCCCAAAGCCTATTAAACTAATGTATTTTTGTGTGCGACATAATTCAAATAAGCGATCCTGAGCGGACATTGCGTACCTCTATTCGTTTTTCACTATGCAGAATACTTCCCTTCCGTGTCAAATGATTTAATGGATTAAAACTATTTGACACCTATAATTAAAGCCATTTGATATTTAAATTGGCGTCCTCGGAGGAAGACTACGTACATATAATTACAGCGTAGGAAATTACGAGTAAGTCAGAACTTTCAGTGAGGCGTGCTAGATAAATAAAATATACGAGTCCCGTTTACTATTATAAGAACATGTTTTCTTTGTACACTTCATTGATTCAGTTTACAAATTAAACTAATATTATAATTATTTTACCCTATTCAGAACTTTAATATGATCATTATTACATTATAATCGAACTTCTTGTAGTTTCACTTATTATATGTTTCATTTTAAAATCAACCTACTATTTACAATATTGCCTCTTAAAATTTTCCTGGAATATGTTACAAAAGCAGTCAATACTAATCTCGTTGTGAATTACTCTATACGAGATATTTTTAATAGTATGTCTTTATAGATATATTGGACAGTACAGTCGAATGGCAGCACCTTCAGGAGCAAAAAACGATGTTTTTATTGTTATTTCGAAAAATATTCATATCACAGTTTTTCCTTCACTGCCGAGAACTTGGCAACTCAGTACTTAAAATTTTAAGAATCAATTTCATTAGTGGCGGCATCGGAATTCAAACTCAGTTCATTCTATGTATTTGATGTTGAATTAAAAGTGAAAGCCCTGACACGAATTTTTCGCGGCTAATTTTTCGTGTACTATTAAGATTAAACCCCACAATTTCAGATTGCAAGTCCTCTTTTGGGGGTAAACTGATAGTATCCAGACACCTATATTTATTTATGGTCAATGTGTCTCACACATTACGTCCGAATTCTTGGCTGACACCGACAAGGCAATAAGTTATCTGTCTTAATGTCGGACACAGTGCTAATGGCGTTTTCGTCGTACTGTTCACAGCAGACATATGGCTTTCGCTAATCACTTTTCGTCCTTAATCTACAGCGACGGATGTTTATCACATCGGCAAGACGCTTCGTTAGAGTTCGGACCGTCCGGAGCTTATTTTAATTTGTCCGGCGCACCATTTGGAGATTCCGTCGACCCATCTGTTCGTCGTTTGCGACAAAGCTGAATTCCCATGGGAAAGACCCAACCCTTTTAACTTTATTTATCAGAAATGGAACACAGGCCCCTTCGGGAGGTCGTTGCTTTGCATGACAAACCATTTTATACGCTTTGTGAAGGAACGTGGGGTTTGATGTAATTTCCACGTGTGTACATTATTCGTTGTGTTGCATATTATTGTAAAGTTGATTACCATTATTCATCAGATGTGTAATATATTTAAATGGGGTGACCCAGACTTTGATCTACTGATGATCAAGATTTTGATAGATTCACGTTTATAGGACCACCACAGGTCCACTTATTCTGTCATCATTATATAAAAAAACTTCGTTACATTACACTAAATGTAACATAAGAAAGTTATTTTTCATTATAGCCTATGTTCCCAACTTTAATAATCAAACAAAAAACACAGTAAAGATCGCCCTCTTGACGATCATTTGGACCGAAATTCTTTGCAGATATCTCGAAGATAATAAAAACAACCTTCGGGGTCCAGTAGCTCTCATCGTTCATTTCCAACGTCTTTTTATTTGCGCTTTTCATTTCATCTTTTTTTTTTCTTTTCTTTTAACGATACGGATGCCGGCCGACCAATCGAAATTCAATTTACTTGAGTGTAGCTCAATACTCTTTAACGTACCGTCTAAGATAATCAATAGAGTAAATATTTTCTTTTGTCCCAACGAAAGTTCATCGCTCATTTGAGATCGTTGAGAGCACTTCTGCAAGTATCTTTAAGGGAAATTGAAAGTTTTAAAAGCTTATATCGAGGTTATATGCGAATATACATTACATACTATTTTTGTCACCTGGAACTGTTATAATATTTACCAGTCAAAAGTAAGAGTAAGTGATATGCAACTCGAAAGCTATGTCCTTAAATAAAAGTGGAACAGTTAGAAAAATCATAGTCATAGTAAGGAAAATTTTATAATTCGCCATGTACCTTTTACATGTACTTTTTAACAAACAATCACGTCACATGATAATTTAATTAATTTTAGTAACAAATAGAAATAATGTATATTTCAAAACCATTGGCCTCCTCTGTACAGAGTGTATTAGGGCTTAGTCCACCATGCGGCACTATTATTGTGGATTTGCGGAATTCACATATCTTCTAAACATTTTTATTTTATTATTATTACGAAAATATGCAGGTTTCCTAACGATGTTTTCCTTAACCGTTGAGGACGAAAAGTTAAAATTTATAGTTAACAATAAAAATGAAACAATTCAAGACCCCTGGCTGCTGCTGATTTTATATCTAAATAAGTTTGTATAATTGCATTAAAAAAAAAGTAATAACAAAAAGAAGAAGACCGCAGAGGTTCTTGCCGGTTCTTCTCTGTGCACGTCTAGTTTAGTGAACCGGTGGTAGATTTTTTGATGACGTTCAATTAGAGCTTAAGTTAAGCCTATATATTGAATAAATATAATTTGACTTTGACTTTGACTTGAAACGAAAACAAACTTTAAATAAGTGGCTATCATGCACTTATTATCGTGAAATCACCCGCGGGCTGTCGAGTTCTTACGAAATAAAAATATGACATCCATTGTCAATGGACATAGCTTTGTTACCAAGATCGTGACATGGCCCGCTGCGATATGACACACGCTGCGTACGTCACCTCTACTTATGCCCGGTTCTTATATTCAACGAACGGCCGTTAGTTACATAGCTTCGTAACTTTCATAACGACTTGTAGATTAAAGGAACGCTACTAACACACTTTCCGTAGGTAATGCAACGGCTCGTAAGGAAAACGCCTCGTTTTGTTAATATAGGAACCGGGCGTGCACGCCTGTTGTCTACAAGTCGTTATAAAAGTTACGAAGCTATGTAACTAACGGCCGTTCGTTGAATAGGAACCGAGCATTAGGCATCCCCTTTTTACTATTCGCTACATTAGGGCATTAAAGCTTTGCAGGTAACAGGAACTATAAAAGTTC